TTTGACCTTCCCGATTTTCTGCGCCAGGGCATCCTCGATCCTAGGACACCCACCGGCGGGCCGACCAAGCGTCTCGGCATCTCCTTTCGCAACCTCACCGTTCGTGCGCCGGCCGCCAACTCGGCGCCGCTCAAGACGCTGCCTCGCGCCATCCTCAACACGTTTGGGCCCGACCTGTGGTCCTTGATCAGCACACGCCTGCCGTCCTCTCTCAAGTCCGGCAAGGCATCGGATCCAGAGACGGTGCCCCTGATCCATGACATGACGGGTGCCGTCCGGCCTGGCGAGATTCTCCTCGTACTCGGGCGCCCTGGCTCGGGCTGTTCGACCCTGCTTAAAACACTGGCCAACCATCGGGCTGAATACTCGGCTGTCGACGGCGAGGTGTACTATGGACCCCTACCGGCCGCCGAACAGGAGGCACGCTTCAGGGGCGAGGTTGTCTACTGCGAGGAAGACGACCGACACTTTCCTACTCTCACCGTCTGGCAGACGCTCTGGTTTGCTCTCGCCACCAAGACGAGGCGGCGGGCTGCGTGGACTGTTCCCGTCGTTCTCGACGCCTTTCTCGCCATGTTTGGCATTGACCACACGCGTGATACGCTCGTCGGGGACGAGCACGTCCGAGGCGTCTCGGGTGGCGAGCGCAAGCGTGTCTCCCTTGCCGAGACGCTCGCCACGCGAGCTTCGGTCGTGTGCTGGGACAACTCGACGAGGGGCCTCGATGCCAGCACGGCGCTGAGCTTTGCCAAGTCATTGCGTGTCTACACCGACGTGGGCGGCCGCACGACTCTGGTCACCTTGTACCAGGCCGGCGAGTCCATCTACGAGCTCATGGACAAGGTCCTCGTCATCGACGAGGGTCGCATGCTGTTCCACGGCCGCGCCGAGGAGGCCCAGGCCTACTTTGAGGGTCTCGGCTACTGGCGCCCGCCGCGCCAGACGACGGCCGACTTTCTCACGTCCATTGCCGACCGCAACGCTCGGCACTTTCAGGAGGGCCGCGAGGCGACGGCGCCCAAGACACCCGAGGCGCTCGAGGCCGCGTTCCGCGCGAGCGAGCACTACCAGCGCCTCCTCGAAGACGTCGACCTCTACGACCGCGAGCACCGCGCCGCGTCGGACCCCGACGAAAAGCACAAGAGGTTCGAGGACGCCGTCCAGGGCGCCAAGAGCAAGCACGTCAAGGACGAGTCCCCCTACACCGTGTCGGTACCGCGCCAGATCGCCGCCGCGACGCGCCGGCAGGCGTGGCTCTTCTGGGGCGACCTCGGCACCTTTTACACCAAGCTCGCCATCATCGTCGTCAACGCCCTCATCGTCGGGTCGCTCTTTTACGAAAGCGAGTCGGGCGCCACGTCGGCGGCGTTCTCCATGTCGAGCGCCATGTTCTTCTCCGTCGCCTTCATCGGCTGGCTCGAGTTCGCCGTGCTGGCGCCCGCCATCATGGGCCGCGCCACCATTGAGAGGCAGAGGCAGTTTGCGCTGTACAGGCCGTCGGCTGTGGTGCTGGCGCGCGCCGTGCTCGATCTGCCGCTCATCTTCATCATGGTCGTCGTCTTCAGCCTGCCGTTTTACTTCCTGGCCAAGTTTGACGTCGAGGCGGGCAAGTTTTTTGTTTACATGCTGCTCGTCTATGTGGCGACGCTGTGTCTGACGACCATGTACCGCATGTTTGCCGCTCTCTCGTCGACTGTTGATGATGCCATTCGCTTTGTCAGTGTTTGTGAGTTTCGCCCCTTTGCATATTCTCTGTGTGTTCGGGTACTAATGTGCAGTCCTCAACATCATGTTTATCCTCACGGGCTATGTCATCCCGCGGTCGACCCTCATGAGCGACTCGCCCTGGTTCGGCTGGTTCTCGTACGCCAACCCCGTGGCCTACGGCTACGAGGCACTGCTGGGTAACGAGTTTGGCGGTCGCGAGCTGCGGTGCAGCGAGAGCAACCTCGTGCCGAGGGGGCCCGGCGCCGACGCCGACTATCAGGGATGCACCCTGCCCGGGTCGACCTTTGGCAGCTCGACCGTATCTGGCGAGGCCTACCTTCAGACGTCCTTTGACTTGTGAGTAGCTTTGCCCTTGCCTCATCCTACTCCTAGTGTTGAGGCGGTAACTAACAGATCAGCTCCCGTTCCAACCTGTGGCGCAACTTTGGCATCATGCTCGCGTTCACCGCCTTCTTCCTCCTCGTCAACGTCTGGGCCGTCGAGAAGGTCCGCTTCACCGGCTCCAGCGCGCACTCGCTCGTCTTTGCCAAACCATCCGAGACCAAGGAAGAGACATCGGCCGAACAGCAAAAGGCTGATGAGACGCTCGACAAGATTGGCGACGGCACCAGCGTCTTCACATTCAAGGACATTCGGTACACGGTCCCCTATGGCACCGGCCACCGCCGACTTCTCAACGGCGTCAACGGATATGCGGCGCCTGGAAAGATGGTGGCTCTCATGGGATCGTCCGGCGCCGGCAAGACGACGCTTCTCAACACGCTGGCACAGCGCCAGCGCATTGGCGTTGTGTCGGGTGACATTCTCGTCAACGGCGTCGTCCCGGGCGCTGCGTTTAAGCGCGGCACCGGATTCTGCGAGCAGCGCGACATTCACGAGGGGTCTTCGACGGTCCGCGAGGCGCTCGACTTCTCGGCGCTGCTGCGACAGGAGAAGCACATTCCCAAGGCCGAAAAGCTTGCCTATGTCGATCGCATTGTGCGGCTGCTCGAGCTCGACGGCCTCTCGCACGCGCTCATCTCGTCTCTCACCGTCGAGCAGCGCAAGCGCGTGACCATTGGTGTCGAGCTCGCCGCCCGTCCCAGTCTCCTGCTGTTCCTCGACGAGCCCACGAGCGGCCTCGACAGCCAGTCTGCCTTTTCCATCGTCCGCTTCCTGCGCCGCCTGGCCGACGCTGGTCAGGCCATCATGTGCACCATTCACCAGCCGTCGTCTGACCTCATTGAGCAGTTTGACATGATTCTCGCGCTCAACCGCGGTGGCAACACGTTCTACTTTGGTCCTGTGGGCGAAAACGGCTCTGTTGTGATCGACTACTTTGCTCGCCGCGGGTTTCCCTGCCCGCCGAGCCGCAATGTCGCTGAGTTCATCCTGGAGACGGCCTCGCGGCCTTCGACGAATTCCGAGGGCGTTCGTGTTGACTGGGACGTCGAATGGCTCGTGTCCGAGGAGAACCGCGGCGTGATTGACTACATCAACCGCGTGACGGCCGAGAGGCGGCACGAGGCACCCTCGACGGAAGCAGACGCGCAGTTCGCCGCCTCGACGCTCGAGCAGTGCCGACTCCTCATCCAGCGCACCTTTATCAAGCAGTGGCGCGAGCCGTCGTACGTCTACGGCCGGCTGTTCGTGCACGTCGTCATGGGCATCCTCAACGGCTTCACCTTTTGGCAGCAGGGCAACGACGTGGCGTCGCTGCAGAACCGCATGTTCACGGCCATCATCTTTGCGTTTTTCCTGCCGCCGGCCGTCGTCAACTCGGTCGTCGTCAACTTCTTCCGCCACCGCGAGCTCTGGGAGGACCGCGAGCTGCCGAGCGCCACGTACGGCTGGGTCGCCTTTTGCACGGCCAATGTCGTCTGCGAGCTGCCCATGGCCGTCGTCTCGGGCACGCTGTACTGGCTGCTGTGGTACCTGCCTGTCGGCTTCCCGGCCGAGGCCTCCACGTCGGGCCATGTCTATCTCATGACCATCATGTGGTCGTTTTTCCAGACGAGCTGGGGACAGTGGATTGCCGCTTTGGGGCCGACCTACGGCATGATTTCCAATGTAGGTTCTTATTCCTTTCTGCTTATCTTCCACAAGATATGGAATGTATCCATCGCAGCATCTCGCTCACCACGTCCCAGGTCCTCCCCTTCTTCTTCGTCATGATCGCCCTCTTCAACGGCATCTTCACGCCGTACCATTCCATGCCCGCCTTTTGGAAGTACTGGATGTACTACGTCAACCACTCGACCTGGTTCTCGCGCGGCGTCCTCTCCGCCGTCGTGCACGCCGTTCGCGTCCGGCGGGGCGCCCACCGAGGGACCGGTTAGGGACCGATAAAAAAAAAAAGAGATGGTAGGAGCTGTTGTAAAGTCTAAATAGCCAGGGGCAGCT